AACTGGGACCTTCGGTTGAGCTCCCTATGGACCACGAAACGCTGTACTGGGTGGGGGGCACGCATGCGGGCGGTAGCACTGGGGCCGTCGGTGGAACTCCCTATGGGCCACGAAGCGCTGTACGGGGGGGGGGGGGACGCATGCGGGCGATAGCACTGGGGCCGTCGGTGGAGCTCCCTATGTGGCCACGAAGCGGTGCACTGAGTGGGGGGGATACATGCGGGCGGTAGCACTGGGGCCGTCGGTGGAGCTTCATATGGGACCACGAAGCGCTGAACTGGGTGGGGGGGAGGCATGCGGGCGGTAGCACTGGGACAGTCGGTGGAGCTCCCTATGGGGCCGTGTGGTGACGATGATGATGATGCTGCTGATGATGATGCTGATGCTGATGATGATGATGGTAATGGTGATGGTGGTGATGATGATGAAGATGATGACGACGATGATGATGATGATGGTGATGATGATGGCGATGATGGCGATGATGAGGATGATGAGGATGATGATGATGATGATGGTGATGATGATGGCGATGATGATGATGATGATGATGATGATGATGATGATGATGATGATGATGATGATGATGATGATGTGATGATGATGATGAGGAGGAGGAGGAGGAGGAGGAGGAGGAGGAGGAGGAGGAGGGAGGGAGGAGGAGAGGAGGAGGGGGCAGTGGGAGGAGTGAACGCGGGGCGCTGACTCTTCAAACCGAGGACCCAACACCGCAGATTGGCTGGGAAAACATGAAACGCCAGGATCCCAGGGTTGAACCCAGTTTTCTAAAACGAGACAGTTTCGACCAGGACTGCTCGACTAACATTTCGTGCAAACCACAACAAGTTGTTAGAACATTCGCTGCTGGGATTATAGGCAAGCCAGGACGCTGAGTCACTGCTTGATTGGGGGAGGAGCTGATCCCCCTTAACGGATGATGATGATGATGATGATGATGATGATGATGATGATGATGATGATGATGAGGAGGAGGAGGAGGAGGAGGAGGAGGAGGAGGAGGAGGAGGAGGAGGAGGGAGGGGGAGGAGGAACCTAATTGGGGTGGGAGGAGCTCACCGAATCAAAAAAACATTAGCCTGACGAAAGACCCAACCATATGCAGCTGCGAGTGCCGCAAGGGAGATGAGACGAATGAGGGGAACGCGCAACCTCCGAGTACCGCACGCGGTTTAGCCTTCTGCCGCGAAACGTATGAATGGTGTGCCGACATGAGTCGGGAAGACGCCTGCGACCGTCGCCAGTGGGGCCTTCCGTAGAACTCACCATGGGGCCACGAAACCACGAAACTGAGAGGTGTGCCGAAATTGTACGGCGGTGCTATGCGAACTTTCCCACTGGGGCCTGAGGTGGACCTCCTTATGGGGTCACGAAAAAATGCGAGGAGTGTGCCGAAATTCGGCGGCGGTGCCACGGGACCACAAAACGTGTGAGAGGTGTGCGGAAATGGGGCGGCGGTGCCATACGAACGTGCCCACAGGGGCCTTCGGCGGAGCTCCCTATGGGGCCACGGAGCGAGTAAGGGGTGTTCCAGAATGGGGCGGCGGTGCCATGCGAACTTCCCCACTGGGGCCTTCGGTGGAGCTCCATATGGGGCCACGGAGCGTGTAAGGAGTGTGCCGAAATGGGGTGACGGTGCCATCCATGCGAACTTTCCCACTGGGGCCCTCGGTAGAGCTACCGATGGGGCCACGAAGCGTGTAAGAGGCGTGCCGAAATGGGACGGCGGTGCCATGCGAATTTTCCCACTGGGGCCTTAGGTGGGCCTCCTTATGGTGCCACAAAACGTTGGAGGAGTGTGTCGAAATTCGGCGGCGGTGCCATGCGAACTTCCCCACTGGGGCCTTCGGTGGGCCTCGTTATGGGACCACGAAACGTGCGAGGGGTGTACCGAAATTCGGCGGTGGTGCCATGCGAATTTTCCCATCGGGGCCTTAAGTGGAGCTACCAATGGGGCCACGAAACGTGTGAGGGGTGTGCCGAAATTCGGCGGCGGTGCCGCAAACTTCCCCACTGGGGCCTTCGGCGGAGCTCCCCATGGGGCCACGAAGCGAGTAAGGGGTGTGCCAGAATGGGGCGGCGGTGCCATGCGAACTTCCCAACTGGGGCCTTAGGTGGAGCTCCCTATGGGGCCACGGAGCGTGTAAGGGGTGTGCCGAAATGTGGTGACGGTGTCATGCGAACTTTCCCGCTGGGGCCTTCGGTGGAGCTTCCGATGGGGCCACGAAACGTGTGAGGGGCGTGCCCAAATGGGGCGGCGGTGCCATGCGAACTTTCCCATTGTGGCCTCAGTGGAGCTCCCCATGGGGCCACAAAACGTTGGAGGGGTGTGCCGAAATTCGATGGGCATGCGGCGAGCAGAGGCAGGGAGGGGAGGAGGGAGGCGGAGGAGGAGGCGGAGGCGGAGGAGGAGGGGGAGGAGGAGGGGGAAGGAAGGAACGCGGGGCGCTGTCTCTTCAAAACGAGGACCCAACACCACAAGATGGTTGGGAACAGTCCGGGTGCAGAAGGGCTTCGGCTGGCCGAGGCCAGGGGCCTCTCCGGGACCACAAGAGGGCGCAGTCCCCCCAGTCGCTGTAGAACTCTCTTGCAGGACCAGCTGGGAGAGCAAGAGCGAGGAGGACGGGGAGGGGAGGAAAAGGAGGACGAGGAGGGGGAGGAAGAGGAGGAGAAGCCAGAGGAGGAGGAGCGACCGTACCTTTAAGATGAGGAGGAGGATGAGGAGAAGGTGGAACAAGAGGAGGAGGAGGAGCAGCAAAAGGAGGAGGAGCAAGGGGGAGCAAGACGAGGAGCAACATGATGAGGAGAAAGGGGCAAGAGGAGGACGAGGAGGAGCAAGAGGAGGAGGAGGAGCAACAGCGAGGAGGAGGAGAGAAGGGAGAAAGGAGGACGAGGAGGGGATGAAAGGGGAAGAGGAGCAAGAGGAGGAGGAGGAGGAGGAGGAGAAAGGAGGAGGAGGAGGAGGAGGAGGAGGAGGAGGAGGGACGAGGAGGAGGAGGAGGAGGAGGAGGAGGAGGAAGAGGAGCAAGATGAGCAAGATGAGCAACAGGAGGAGGAAGCAGAGGAGGCCTCTTGGACGCTTCGCCACTGTTTTGAAAGAGAAGAAATCGGCATCGACATAATTTTTTAGCGCTCCGCGCGGGTTTCTTGGATCTGCGCTGGTCCCCCCTCCCTGGCGCGCAGACCCCGCCAAGAGCGGTGCTAGAGGCGCCGCCAGGGGGGCCCAAAGCGAATCCAAAAAATCCGACCGGAGCGCCAAACGTTTATGTTTATGGCGTTTCCTCTTCTTCGAATTGCTTGCATTTCGATCGTCTTGTCCTGTGCCTCGCCCGCCGCCCCCGCCCCGCCGGCGGCCTGCCACGACGACGACGACGACGGCGACGACGACGGCGGCGACGACGACGACGGCGACGACGACGGCGGCGACGACGACGACGGAGACGACGACGACGACGACGACGACGACGACGACGACGACGACGACGACGACGACGACGACGCCCCGCCCAGCTGGCGGCCTCGCCCTGCGGCGGCGCGCCGGCCACGGCGCTGCCGCCCGGGCCGCCCGCCGCGGAGGGCGCCGCCGGGCCCGGCGCCGCCGCGCCCGGCCGAGGGCCGGCGGGCCCCGCGGGCGGGCGGGGGGCGCCCGAAGGCGCCCTCGCCGGGGGGGCAGCGATCGTTAAAGGCTTAACGACTTGTGCCGTCCCCCGGATCGCGCTGGAGCGGCCGCGAAGTGTTCCAACTTTCCCAGGGTATACTTCGATCTATCTGCACTCGCCTGGATTTGTCAACCTCGATTCCCACAAGTCGATTAGCGAAAAGTGGACAAACCCTTGGAGAACCGATGGGCGGGGACGAGCGGCATTTCGAGCAAAGGCCGACCGTCCCGGCATTCGTATAGGCCTGCCACGAAATGCTGTCGTAGAACCCAAAAATGTTCTGAGAGCAAAAGCAAGGTTCTTAGAACAGAACCCCGGTGTGCTAAGACAATACAGTCTCCGCCATAACTTCTAAGACAAAAAGGTTCTTAGAACAATCGCTGGTGGGCTTATAGGGAACGCATCGACCTGGGGCACCTTTGATCCTGGCGGCTCCACTTTTTCGAGCCGGGCGGTGTCGCTCAGCGTCGGCCCCGGGGACCCTCGCAGTCCGATCCGGCTTGAAAAATGATGCAAAAAATTGGGTCTCGGGCCCCCGGCGTGATTTCTCACGATGCCGCATTCTTTTCGCAAGGTCGGATCTCAGGGTAGGCGCGGACTAGCGCAGGGGGGGCTGCATCGATGAAGGCGCCAGGGACACACAAATAAATACAAACGAGCCAAGACTCGCCGGATCGTCTCGCATTTCCTGCGTCTTCGCATCCCCCCCCACTTCCCATAGTTCCCCAAATTCTTCCTTCTCGGGAAACGCTACAGGGAGGAAAAAACATTCGCACAGTGTCTCAAGCGGCCTTCAAGGAAGCGGCGGAATCGGGCAAAGCCGACGCACTATCAAGCTGTGGGACTTCGTTTTCAGACATGATGAAGCGTAGATCCATCCACAACGAAGTCAGAGAGAAACTCGAAGCGCTTCGCGTGTGCGTCGGCACACTGTGAAAGAAACCTCCCTCTATAATGGGAGTCACCTCGTCCCAAAGAAAAGAGGGTGGCAGGCGGGGACAGGGAGGTGAACAAAAAAGGAGCGACTACGGATGCAACAGAAAGCACCGTGTTGTCCGAAGGCCTCCCCTTCTGCGGAAAACGCGTACAAACTCACATTCGCACAGTGTCTCAAGCGGCCTTCAAGGAAGCGGCGGAATCGGGCAAAGCCGACGCACTATCAAGCTGTGGGACTTCGTTTTCAGACATGATGAAGCGTAGATCCATCCACAACGAAGTCAGAGAGAAACTCGAAGCGCTTCGCGTGTGCGTCGGCACACTGTGAAAGAAACCTCCCATACGCATAATAATGTCCAGGGTGGTGGTGGGGTAGCTGGTCGGCACGTTAACGATACTGGCGAAAAGCGTGCTTGAGCAGGTCCGGGAGTTGGCGACCGGCAGCAATAGCATCCCGCCGCTGGCGGGGTGTCATTTTGTGCGACTGACGTAGTAGAGCTGCGTGCTTCTCGTATCGCCTCACCGAGGCGGGGCACTTCCATTTACCACGATCTTGAATCTGCTGGATGCTGAGGGCATTGAGATAGGCATCAGTCGAGGGGCCAGTGTGTCGGAAACAATGCGGCACAATCCTCAGGGCATCCAGCTCCAGCGCCTCTGAGGCTTCTTTGATGGACTTCTCGTAAGACGGGAGTGTGAGGTGGCGAAAAACCCGCTCACCATCGTGAGCGGACCCATGCAAGAAAGCGGCCACGTCCTTCACGAAGGTGCGGTCGAGGATACCAATGACCAGCGTGTCATCTTGCTCGCCAGACTTGGTCTTGCCAGCTCGGGTGCTAGGAGAGAGAACGAGGCCCCAATCGGTGTAGCGTGAGCCACGTTGGCGAATTGGGGGCAGTAGGTCTTCTCGCTTGATGCCCATCAGGGCGCCCGGGCGGACATAGGTATCCACTTGCAACACCACAGCAAGGGCACACCAGAAGTAGAAAGCTTGATTCTTGAGAAGAAGCCACTGAACTATCAACCAGGCCGCCTCGATGGGACAAGGGTCACGAATGCGACCAGGCATCTGGCGAATCCAACCTCGAAGAGCTGCCTTGGCCTTGGGCAGGACGTGCCCTCCGCGGCCCAGATGCGAGAGCCTCAGCAGCGCGTAGCCGTACAGGGCCCACCTGCCGATCTGCGGCTGCTCTCTCTGGGCGTAGAGCCACTCGAAGTAGTCCGACATCGCAGAGTCTGCCGCCTCGTGCGTGCGGAGGCTGCGCACCCTGCCAGCTGCCCAAGCCTCGAACTCGCCGACCTCCGCCTTGTAGGTGTGCAGGGTGGCGGCCGAGACGCTGTTCTCGACCAGGTTCCGAGGCAAAGGGGCAGGTCCGTGTCGTACAGCAGGCGGTCGCGCGAGACGCTGTCGTCGAGCGCCGAGCCTCTGCGCGGGAGCGCGCAAGGTCGCGCCACTGCTGGCCGACGTAAGCGATGAGCCTGCCCGGGACCCTGTCGAGCTCGTCGCCGACGTGCGGGGCCGACTTCCACTGGTCAAAGCCCCCTCGCTGACGACGCCGGAGGTTTGGATCGTGCGCTTGTTGGAGACTGGCCGAGCTAACGATGTGTCGAGCCGTGGCATCCTGAGAAAAGGGGAAGATATGATGCCGCTGTGCGTGGGCCCGAACCAACCGTGCTACATTGAAGCAGAACTTTGAGCCGTAGACTCCTGCGGCTCGAGAAGCTTGCGTCCATCGATATGCCTGCTTGTCAGCATTCCAGAGATAAAACTTACCCGTCACAACCGTATGAGCGTGGCCGCCAGGACATCTTTTAGACAACTGCTCCAGGCCAGGAAGAGTGCCAATCAACCGAGTGGGTTTCTTGATGGTTCCCTCAAAGCCGCAAGCGTGAAATTCAACAACTGAGACACGTGAGTAAGACATGATTTCCATGATCGGCTCAAAGCCCCAGAGACGAGACGTGAGAGGATTCTCCAAGACAAAGGCCACGTTGTACTTCAGACATTCACGAATAACTTCTGACGAAAACCATGCGTGTTGGGCCCCTAGCCAGTCCTTTTCGCGAGCAACTTCTGGATTCCGAACGCCTCGCCTAGCTATACTGAAGGCACTGCAGGGGGGCCCCAACCACACACATAAGACTTTGCCCCGTTGAATGAGACCGATGATGTACTGCCTGATGCCGGGGTCCAAGAGGTCATACTCGGGGCCTTTCGAGAGCTCGATACCTTCTCCACTTGGAACGCCTAGAGAGGCCACGGCCCTGGTGAGGCCCTCGTGGCCCGCGAACAGCTCCAAAAAGATCGCCCCTCTCCTAACGCGCAGCGTGCGGTTCAAGTCGTAGCCCTTGGGCTTGGAGGCCTCCAAGACTGGGACGTGTGAGCACCTTGATGGAGTCCCCGAAGAGGTCCTGCCGGGAGCCGAAGAACACGCTGAAGCCCTTGAGGTGCCCGTGGGAGGCCCCGTAGAAGTCCTGCGGGGCGCCGTACACGATGGTGAGGGCCTCCTTGATGAGCCCGGAGAGGGGGCCCGAGTCCTAGAGGGACAGGTAGAGGAGGAAGCACACGCACCCGCAGGGGTGTCTTCAGGCATGACGAAGTGCGTCTTCTTTTTTCTCGAGGCAGCGGGCGCCGCTCGCACAGCAGCGACGCCTGGCAAGTGCAAAAGACGGGCCAGCGCGCCTGACGCGCCACCAGAGGGGCGAACTCGGCAGGAAGCGCGAACGATAGCCATGTCATGACCGCCTCGCTCCAAGCCGAGGTTGCGTGCCCTCTCCGTCGGGTCAGCACCTCCGTCAAAACGGCGAGAGCCCGCGTCCGTGGGGTTGCGAACTCCCTCGAGGTGTCGAGTCGCCCACTGAATGTCGCAGGCGATCTGCAGAGCTGCTGCCCGTTGGCCAAGATAGCGAAGGCCCCAGTTGGTCTTCTCCGTGCCTCGCCCACGCCCTCGATCAAAGGCGCAACAGGCGACCAGGCTGTCGGAGAGGGAGAGGAGCCGCTTCTTGTGGCAGCGCGGGTTGCGGCAGGCACGCCGAAGCCCCGCCAGCATCACCCTGCCTTCCTTGGTGTTGATGTGCTCAGTTGGGTCATTCCACTTCCGCTCGAAGAGGGTCTTCCAGCGCTCGGGCGGGCCCCAATTGGCACCGAGTGCGGGCACCTGACGAGGATCCCCCCGCAGAACTCGCTCTCGAAGTGCTCGGCGAACTCCTCCAGGGGCGAGCCTGTCACTTCCCTCCCGATACTGACGCTCCAGCCGAGTGGGAGGGCGAGGAGGAGCAGCCACGGCGGATGGCACGCGGTCCTCTTGCCACGGCTCTGGCGAGCCCCCCAGGGGCGAGAGGCCAGCGCTGTCGCAGAGCCCGAGGTAGGGGACCAACTCGCACCGCGGGTCCAACCGATCCTCGATGAAACGCCATCGTTCGCGATAAGCTGCCGCCTCTCTGAGCTCCGCATCCGAAGCGCTCGTGACCGCCAAGCAGTACCCCAGGTCAGAGGAGTCAGAGCAGTAGGCCATCCGCAGCCGTGGAGCACTCAAGTCGCGCTGGCAGAGGAAGACTAGACCCAGAATCACTTTAATCTCCTGGCGCACAGAGCCCCACACCCGGCACCGCCGCTCGAGTGCATGTTGGATGAACTGGTAGACTGCCCACAGACAGGACAACGCCGGCCTGTTGAGCATGAAGAGGTGCACCACGTGGCCGATCCAGACTCGAAGGACCTCACCTCGAAGTCGCCGACGTCGGAGTAGTTCTTTGCCGGCCAGGTACACTCGCCACACTCGGCGCGGCTGGTGATGCAGAAGACGACGATGTCCGTCGAAGATGGCGCCCAAGTGCTCTAGCGCAAAGGTGTGCTCTACTATGTCGTGTGTGCGCATGTCACGCGCAGAGAACTGATGAAGAACAGTCTGTAGGTCTGAAGTACTGGTATTAGCAGACAGCAGGGCCGCGTTGTCGACGTAGGTCGAGGTGATCGGACTTGCAAACGAGGCCCGCGGCGCCCGGTGCTTCTCCCGAGCAGCTCGAGAGGCGCCCCCAGGGACCCCGGCAGCGACGATATGCTCCACAGCTGAATGACAAAAATAGAGAGCCCACGTAAAACCCATGCTAAGCGCTCTGAAGCAGGGGTACACGATGTCAGTGGGCTGCAGCGGCACCATCTTCTCGAGGTCGTCATCCCAGACCTCGGTGACTCCGTAGACGCCAGCCTCGTCGGGATCATCCATCCCGAACCAGCTCGCCATACGCCAGTTGTCAAACTGGTAGAAGCCGTCGACCACGTCCAGAGAGCTCCCAGAGAAAGGGAGAGAGAAAAGCCCGCCCTGCCCCTTGAGTAGCTCGGCCTCCTCCTCGGTGCTCAGCTCGGCGTCCGCGATGTCGGAGAGCTCGGCCAGGCTGAGATCCACGTCCGCCAAGGCGGCGATCGTGCCCAAGTCAGTGTGAGGGGGCATCCGGCACTTCTCGTTGGTCGAGCGGGCGTCCACAATCAGCCTGGTCATACCTGTCTTCTTCCAGACGAAGAAGATTGAGACCCTCGAGAAGATGCGTCGCCTGAAGGTGAGAAGCTGGCGGTTGTACAGCGTGGCGAACAGCTCGCGGCGGCACTGCTTTGAGCGCCGCAGGTCCGGGCACCAGTACGGGGTGACAGAGACGCCTCTCAAACGATCTGCCTCAAGCTCGCTCTCACTCTTCAACGCGTGTTTCTTGAAGTCCGTCGCCAGCCGCAGCGCGCCGGGAGGAAGCGCGGACTCTAAAGGGAGCGGGGTGGTGGCGCCCTTCGTCACCTTCAGCTTATCAGGAAGGTACACAGGTCTTTCGCTTTGCACACTTCGTTGAGCGCGCTCAGCGGGGTCAGGTCTCGCGGCCGTTCGCCGTAGAGAGAGATGCGGTCATCCAGAGACTTCAGGATGGACATCTGTGAAGAAGAGGCCTTGCCCGAACTGCCACGGTATAGGCAGTTCACGTCTGAACATACTCTGGTGCGATACAGGAAATTGAGAGAGCGAACTGACTCGACAAGACGCTGGTCTTGATGTCCAGGTTGCCCGCGCATTCCTCGCCACCGGCGTCCGGAGCCCCCGAGGGAGCCCTTCACCAAGCGAACTGGCAGAGGGAGAGGATCACCATGCCGCCGCCGACCGCGATCGTGAAGACCACGGCATACAAAACTCAGAGCCCGAAGCAACTGACTGGAGGCTCCTACCTGTACGAAGTTAGTGACGGCGAGACCGACCAGGTACTCGGTCCCGCGTGGGCAGCGAAGGCTGCTAGCCTTGCCCTCCCTTGCCGCCGTCGGCGGCGTCGCCCTTGTTCCCCTTGGGGGCGCCCTTGAAACCCTTCTGGCCGCCGCCGCGCCTCTTGTCCTCGGCAGCCCGCTCCTCCCGAAGTAGACGAGACTGCTTGAGGGTAAAAGCCCGCTGGTGCTGCTTCTCGGCGACCCACCTGGTGAACTTGGGAACGGCCACGCGCCCCTTGTCCTCAGTCGAGCCCGCCAACATGTAGCCGAGCCCGCTGTAGTCGGGGTGCTTCGCGTCCTTCTCCACCGCGAGCTCATGCTGGATGAGCCTCCTGACGAGCTGCTCGCCCATGGCAGAGTTTGCCAGGTTGTACTGGTCATAGGTGAGCCCCAAGCGCAGCGCCTCCAGGATGATGCGATGGTCATGTGCGATCCCACTGTTGGGCGAGACCCCGGCCGCCACGCACCAGTTCTGATGGTAGCTGTCGAACGAGCCATCGGTGGTCTCCAAGATCCCGTCCAGATACTCTTTGACCGCACGCGGGTCAGCAAACGGGAAGTCGTCGAACTTAGTCTCCTCGAGCTTGCTGACTGCGTCCTTCGCCTGGAGGAAGCGCTTGCCCCATGCCGTGCGGAAGGTGCCGAGGAGACGCAGGTCGCCTCCACCGCCGACCCGACTCTTCCAGTCCGCCAGGTCGTTCTGGTTGACGCGCTCCACGTGCACCTCCGTCGAGGCGTCGTTGGCGTCGAGCTGCACCACCCCCTTGGTGTCCCGGAGCAGGGCCCGCCCAGCGTCGTCCAAGATGCCAGGCTCGACCTGCTCCCCGAACCGCGGGTGGGACGTGTCAGAGACCACCCAGACCTCGGCGTCGTCCACCTCGATGTCTTCCCCAGCGATGTCGGCCAGCACCTTCGCACGCGCGATGGCCTCGCTGAGCTCCCTAACAGGGATCGGGTCGAAAAGGAAGCAGTCGTTCCGACACCTCTCTGGCACAGGTCTGCCCCGAGCCAGCGGCTCGAACCTGACCGTGGCGGTGTCCAGGATCTGCAAGTCACCTGTCGGGGTGAGGACCACCCACTTGCCCGAAGAGATCCGAACGAGCAATACACGATGATGCCAGGCAAAGTTAGGATCGTCATCGTAGCGCACCAAGATTTGCCTCTCTTTGATATCCAAAGCACTCATTGTTGATCAGCGAGCCGCAATGAAGCTGGGGTCGCTGGACCACTCCTCACACGGGTTGTCGCCTGCTGCTCGAAGATGGGAGCCGATGGAGTTGGCGTCGAAGTGCGTCGCGAGGTACACCGACCCACGAGAAGCCCGGCCAAGAAACAGACCAAGCTGAAACTGAATGCGAGGCTGATGCAGAACGTCACCGTCACCGATGCACTGAGCTGGCTCTGGACTGATTCCAACTGTCGTGTCAGAACGCGCTCGATGTGCCTGCAGCCCGTGTCCGAAAGAGGCTCGCACTGATTTCCCTCAAAATGACAATGGCAGACCGGCTCGCGGGCCGGAGAGCTGAAGGCCACGACGTCTCGGAGGACGGAGTACAGAAAGTGAAGCCTGTCCTGCGGGAACTGCGTGGCGCCAGAACGAGCGGCCCGGGCGGGCCTATCTGAACAAAAAAGGAGCGACTACGGATGCAACAGAAAGCACCGTGTTGTCCGAAGGCCTCCCCTTCTGCGGAAAACGCGTACAAACTCACATTAACACTATTTTGCTTCGAGCGATCCCCGCCGAAACCTTCGGCGCGTGGTCCCAACGGCGCGCGCGCCTACTGTGAGGGCGCGCGCATTGCCCGGCGGCGTCGGCCAGCAGATTTCCCCGAACCTCGGTTAAAGAAGAAGGGGGGGAGTCGTCGCCCCCCTCCGGCCGATCCCGACGGCCCGAACCTCGGAGTTGGGGGTGGCCATGCTTTGAATGGGCCCCCAGAAAATCGGTCAAGAGGGGGGGAGAGGAAATGCATTCAAAATCTGTCCCTGGACCCCTCCCAGGGCCCCTCCGACGCAGTTTTTGGCCTCGAAGACGAGGAAGAGGATGGGGAGGTGGAATTACGCGACGATGATTGCGGGGTGAAGCAGGACAGACAAAGAAGTGGACTTTCCATTGAAAGTACGTCGTCACGGCTGACGTGCAGGGGGAGAAACAGGAAGAGGTTGTGCAGTGGTAGCTGGCGTATACGAAATATTGTGCTATGTTATGCTCGATACGAACCTGTCCCAATGTCGATATGCTCTGCTGTCGTGTTATGATATGCCCTGTAATACTGTGTCATGTGATGGCCTGTTATTACGTGATACTCCTCTCCATTACCGCCGTTGTTGTATCCAAAAGCGTTGGACAGTATTCCATGAAGTAACCCTCTGACATGTTATGCTCGATTATGTCAAATTATGTTCTCGACGGGCCGGCGTGGCGTCATGACGCCTGGGCGACACCGTCGAGCTGTGGCTACTGTATACGCAATGTTGTGCTAAAGGGTGTGTGTACGTGCGTGTGTGGTAGGAGTCTGCCCCGATGTAGACTGTGACGCTGTGTTCTCTGACGTTCTTATATCGACGGGCCGGCATGACGTCGTGACGCCTATCACCGTAGACACATCGCCATGTCGCTCATTGATGTGACTCCTGATTCCAGTGGCGACGCTGACCAAAATGCACGTACGGTGGAGATGCTACGGTATGATCTGCGTTGTGGCACTGTGTTATTGTATGATATGCTGACAGTTTATGTTATAGTGTGCTCTGTTCTGTGATGCTGTTCACGGCTCGGCTATGTTATGATATGCTCTGCTAGTATGTTTCGCAATGCTCTGGTGCCGTGTTATGATAGTGTGCGTGATTATGTGTCATGATCTGATGCGTCCTGCCATCGTGTGTTATACTATGCTCGGTTCTATTATAGTATGTAGTGTCATGCCGTCTTCTGTTATAGCATGCTACGGTATGGTATGTTATGTGACGTTGTGTTTAATGACGGCTCGGCACAGTATAATATAGTATGATATGCGATGCTAGGATGTGGCAGTATGCTCTACTTTTGGTGTATGAGATGATCTGCGATGAAGTGCAATGATATGGGATGTCCTGCCAAGGTGTCTTATGTGTTCCTCGGCTATGTTATGCTATGTTGTGTGTATGTCGCCTTCTCTTCGACCATGCTGTGATATGATGCGTTATGTGATGTGGTATCATGATCGTGCTTGTCATAGTGTTGATATGATATGATATGCCATGGTATAACATGTTCGTGTCATGTTATGTTACCTTCGGGTGTGACATGTTGTGCTCTGGCGCGTTCGCCGCTATGCTCTGCTGCCGTCTTATGATATGTTTGGTGGCGCTGTGTCAGTATATGATATGTTCGGTCAATGTGTCTTATGTGGTGCTCGGTTATGTTATAGTACGTTGTGTGAGGTTGTTTTCTGTTATGTCATGGTCTGCTCTGGTATGTTATGTGATGTGCTGGTGTCCTCTAGTGTGTCATGATACTTATATGTATGTTCTGCCATCTTCTGTCACGCTGTTGCTCTGTTCTGTCATGTTCTGTTCTGTCATTGTGTTCTGTCGTGCTTGTCGAGGGCGCGAGGCGGGATAACTGGGACACTCGGGACAACTTGGGGTCTGGCGGCCGCGGTATGCAGGGTGTGTTCTGTCCTGTTTTTCGAGGGCGCGAGGCGGGATGACCAGGACTCTAGGGACAACTTGGGGTCTGGCGGCCGATGTGTGCAGGGTGCGTTCTGTCGTGTGTTTTTTATGGGAGCGCGAGGCGGGATGACCAGGACTCTAGGGACAACTTGGGGTCTGGCGGCCGATGTGTGCAGGGTGCGTTCTGCCGTGTTTTTCGAGGGCGCGAGGCGGGACAACCTGGACACTCGGGACAACTTGGGGTCTGGCGGCTGCGGCATGCAGGGTGGGAGTGGCCGGGAGGTCTGTTCTTAAAATCTAACGACCCCAACCTGTCAGGTGGGGAGTAAACTGTTGGCGCTCCGCGCGGATTTCCTGAATCTGCGCTTGGCCCCTCCCCTGAGCGCGGAGCGCGCCAGGGGCGGCACCGGAGGCGCCGCCAGGGGGAGCCCAGCGTGGATCCAAGAAATCCTTGCGGAGCGCCGAAAGTTTATGTTTATACCCGTCTTCATTCAGGGGGTGATACATCAACCTGGCGTTGGCGATGCATCGCCGATGGATCGGCGAAATCAGCCTCCAATAGTGAGCCCGCACCTTCCTGGGCAGGTCGGGGCTATCGGGCCCCGATCAGTGGATGCATCCCCCCCTTCTCAGGGGCGGCCAAGAGGGCGGCGTCCAGGAAAGGGGGGCGCAAATCATGGCCGGCGGCGCGTGCGCGGCCCAGGGGGGGGCCGAGGACGTATTGAGATAAGAGGAGGCGCCGTGAATCTTGGGGAGATCTCATGGCCCCCGCCATGATGTATGCCCACTCATCGGCTGCACGCAGGAGTGACCCTGGGCAAGAGTGACCTTTGGTGCGCGGCTTTTTGGGGTCCGCGGGGGGACCAAACCTGGGCGCGCAAGCCGTTGCTCCTGCTTCGTTTCCAGCCATCTGGGGACCCATCTGTGCCCGCACCAAAGGTCACTCCGGCGAAAGGTCACTCTTACGTCTAGTCGAACTCCCCCCTGGCCATCACCCATCACCCCTCTCTTGGCCGTCCCCGACCTTC